TTTAGATTTGTGTTTTCCCCATTTAAAAGGAAGGAGTAAATAACTTCTATAAGCCTTTAGAAATCTCTGTTAATGTCTCATGGCACTTACTGAGCCTGTCTCCATGTTTCTCTCAGTCTTTCCCAGTCCTGTCTATCCTTGGGAACCTTCTTAAGCAATTGAATTTTTAAGTTTTGTTGGGAATGAATGGAATAATCACGTGTGGCTTCATGGTTTTGGTTTTGCTTCATTCCTCCTGCATCATGGCAAAAGACAAGCTCTGTTAATCACACTAGTGTCTTCCAAGAACATCTCAGCCTAGTGTTTTTCTTCTGTGAGCTTTCAGCTGAATAGAATTTCACAGCTGTCCTTGTCACCTTTTAAAAGAAAATCTTTACTTGAGACTCTGGCACAAACCCTAAGTGTATAAATGAGTGCTGGTATTACTTTTGGATCATTGTCCTCTGAAGCATGAATACACTTGGGAAGTAAAATCAATAGAATGCAGAAACACATAATAACAGCTTACAAAAACCAAAACAAATACCACAATCCAGCTGATAGACAGGTTTAATCTTTCTGTTCTCTGTAGGAGTCTTTTCAAACATTGTGATTGCAGTTGTTAAAAACACTTTCTTCGTTGAGTCTTTTGGTTTCATTTGAATTAAAGGCAGTCTGCAGTTAAGTGGAACCTGCTGTTGTTTTCATCTTGTAAGCAAAGGAGATGTTTATCAGCGCTTGTGTTATTTCACTGTACACTTTTCACACTGCAGAATTTTCAAAGCATTTGCTGCTGTAAAACTGGCCCAGTTTTTGAAGAAGAACTCTAGCATTAGTTGATTTTGCTGGTAGAGGTGTAAATGGGGTGCAAAGTACATTTCATGTGATTTTCTCATTTTTCTGAGTATCTTTTTGGTGAAACTAGGTTGCAACAAGATTAAATGATAAATGAGTGTTCTAATTTCTGCCTTGCAAGAAAAAAATTAACAATATACAATATTGTTATTGTAACAATATCCAATATAACAATAGTTATACAGTTTTAATGTGTGAAGCAAAGTAATATGGTGCATTTTAGCAAATTCTTTAGATTTCTAGAATGACTTTTCATTGTATCTTCAGGTGTTCAGTTTCCCCTTAAACAGAAGCTTCCATGTGCATGGTGTTGTTCACAGTAAATATACTAAATCTCTTCACTAGCTTTGCATCTGAGGAAAAAAACCAATATATTAGCATGTAAAATGCTTTGAACATTGGAGGAGTGCTGTATAAGAAGCAGGCAACTTTGAGATATGCTTTAGTCAGTGCTCCCTTTGTGCATAGCAGAATTTTTGTCCCCTGGGGAAAGATTTACTAAGCGTCAAACCAAATTCTTGCATTTTCTGATAGAAGTCACATTTCTGAGTTTAACAAAGAGCTAACTTTGAATTGGAAAAATAGTTAAAAGCTGAAAATTAGCTGAAAATTTTCATCTAATTAAAAGCTGAAAATGACAATGTCGGGAATGCTAGTTATTCTGAGCAAAATAGTCCGAAACCTAAGGGAGAGGAAATAAAGACGGCTGAAACAATGAAGAATTATGTAAATTAAGAAATTGAATGCTGTTTGGGATGGCAGGCAAATTTAGAGAAACAATTCAGGACAAGAACTCTTAATCATGTTTTTTCAGGCTAAATATATGAGTGATAGTTGTGGGGAAAGGTGAGACTTTGAAGACATTTGGAGTTGAGTTAGTGCAGTGACATTGCAGCTATCCCATCCCTTATAAGATTTTTTATTTCTTACGCTTCTTTTTAAAAATGTATGTAACTCTTATTTTGGAGCTATGCACTTATTGAAGGACCATAGGATGTGGTATGGATAGTGTAAGCCAAAAAAGCCAGGCATTGTAGAGCTCAGGCTCCTTGTTGCTGGCTCTGAACCCACACACACTACACATGAAGTCTCTAAAATCCTCCTTTGTGCTCACAAATGTTTGGATATTGAGTAGGAAGGCTGAAGAGCGTGTGGCAGCAGCTCTCAAGGGCTCACTCAGCAGGTGTCACAAGTCAGCTGCTGCAAATAATGAAGTGTGTGCTCACCCACAGCTAAACAGAAATTGAGACTGAACAGATTCTATCATGTGAGGTAAAAATACTTTGCTTAAACCTCAGTGAGGAATGGCTGATATTTTATCATTCCTTAAACTAGAATAAGACTCATTATAATATCTTTTTCTATGAACCAAGGCTTTAGGAGAAGTTTAAAATGTCCCAAGGATCAATTTAACTTTTTACTAAACATGCACATGAGTAGTCTTCTCATATAAGATTATGGCAGATTAAATTTCAAACCGATTCTTGGATGCCTTTTTCATTCAGCTGATGTAATGGCTGCTTGATTTCCTTTTTTAGTTGCTTGCTACTTCAAAGCACTTTATTGCTCTGTTCTAAAAATTCCATTAATTTATCTGTTGCTGCCTTTTATAGTCTCAAAAGAATGTCAGCCTTGCTGTGAGAAATGCAAGTACTGCAGGGAGGTGATGAAGAAGTAACTGCTCTCCTCAAGACTCAGCTGCATGTTCAGTCCTTTCTCAGGATTGTTTTTGGAGGTGCTCAAGGCGGAGCAGCCTGTGGAAACAAATGTGCCTCAGTTTCAAGCGTACACAGAGGCCAGAGCTGATTGCTGCAGGTTGTAGCTCTCATCCAAATGAGGTTTAGTAGAGGAAATGTGCTGGTGGGGGACAGGGAACTGCAGCTTGTGATTTATTAATGTGTTTTTGCCTCTTTTTTTCATGAAGTAGAAAGAAAATAACCTCTGCATCTTGAATTTATTATTCAAGCCTAATTTATTGAATATACTGACTCTAATAGCAGAAATCAATCATCTTAGCAGTGTAGATACTTCCTGAAACTCTGGACATCGTTCTTGTAGTGCCTTCTTTTTATCCATTGCTTTCTTCTGGATAACAAGGCCAACAAAATACTTACTCTCTGTTACATTAACTGTTTAAGATAACCTTGATAAAAGTTAGCTTTCAGCAAGTTTACCATGTGATCATTGATCATTGTGACTTTCTTCACTGACTCTGACAGCTGAAATACTTTTCACTGGCCCTTGTCTGGTTTTTGAAAGCTGAAGAAAACGAATCATTATCAAACTAGAAGTTTGTTCCCTTATTGTTGGTATTTCAGCAGCAGTTGGAAAGTTCATTAAGCAATGCTCATTATTTTTGTACTGCAGGGGCTGCTGTGTAGTTAATTCTGTCATTAAAGAATTTAAATGTTTTGTGCATACTCAGCATAACCTTGTGTTACACACTCATATTTAGTTTGAATTTATTAACTAATTTTTAAAATATTTCAATGCAGGCTCTATTAGCTGTGTTAGTAGCCTCTAGGAAGAGAGCTCCCAGAATCACAGAATGCTTTGGATTGGAAGGGACATTAAAGTTGTAGTCCCAACTCCCTGCTGTGGGCAGGGATGTCTCCCACTAGACCATGTAACACAGCTCCCAATCCAGGCTGGCCTTGAGTGTCAGGGATGGGGAGTCCCCAGTGTCTCTGGGCAACCTCTTGCAGTGCCTCATTGCCCTTATAGTAAAACATTCCTTCCTAATATCTAATCTAAACCTACCCTCATTCAGCTTCATTGAAAACAAAAAAAATCTTGAAGTACTTTAAAAGCTGAATTAACTGTTGCCTTGCAAAAGTGTAAAAGCAATCATTCAGCTTCCATCTATTTCTTTTTGCTAGGCCATTGTAGTCTTTAGATGAGACATCCCAGCCATTTCAAGTAATCCTTGTATTTACAGAGATGGAATGGGGTAACCTATTCCTATTGTGAATCTGTAGCAAAAGCTGTTCTGCTTCATAATTAATAATGAAAATATTCTTCCCCTTTCCAAATACTAAAAGGGCCTCCTCTGTGCAGAAGCTAATAGCAATGTATTTTGTTTCTATTCACATTTGTGTTTTGTCCACTTGGGCATCAGGAGGGGTTTGTGTGTGCTGTTCTCTTCTGCTGTAAGTGTGGAAAATGCTATCAGGTCTTCCTGATCTTGTATCTTAAGTTTCAGCACAGTAATTGGGCAATAGAATGTGAGCTGGTAGTGATTGAGCATGTAATCAGGCAGGGGAAAATATTTTTGCTTTCTTGGCAATGTGAAATACAAGGTGAATTTTGAAAAGGAAAAGAGAATAAAGTGTGTGGACAGACTGTTCCAAAGCTATACTTTGTCTGTGATTCCATGACAAAAATCAGCATTATGCATATTTGGGTATTTGCAGGGCTCTGGTTTGTGCATATTTGAAAGCCAAATTTATCCCTATGCAAGACCTGTAGTGTTAAGCCCATGTCTTAACCAGGCAAAATAAAGTTAAGGGAATAAAATCTACTTCACCTTGTGCATTTAAACCTCTGTTAATTGGATAGTTATGGCTAGGAAGGTAAGATGGGGAAAAAGGAGCCAACCTTCTTAAAAGAGGGATTTAGTTTCTTTCTTTCCCTCTTACCTTCTGAAGAATTTCCCAGGGGCGTTTGACTTTGCTTAAATGGATCATTGTGGAAGGACTAGCAATCTTAGATACAAACAGTGGGAACAGAAATTTCCTCTCCATTACTCAAGTTGCTGCACTTTATGAAGAGAATGAGGTAGTTACAACACGCTAGACTTTGGGAATTGAGGGTAAGTGTGGGGTGATACAGTGCCAGGAAACAAAGTATTTCTGTAGGTTACCACCTCCTTTATGCCTGTCACCTTAAAGCCTCTTTCCTAGCATCTCTTTCACATACTGAGGTCATTGCATGGTATCTTAGACTGAGAATGAAATCTTAGAGATAATGAGTCTAAATGTAGATACATTAAATTTTTGCACCCAAAAACCAAAATGTAAGATTCCCTTTTTTTTTTTTTTTTTTTGCTTTGTACAACAGTCAGTTTGATGTCTGTTTTGACCAAGATATGATCTACATCACCAGTCATTCATTTATACTTTTGTGCTTTGCTGCAGGGTAGCATCCTGCCTCATTTTCCCTTTCAGAGAAATGGTGTGACTGCTGGAATCTTCTGACACCAACATACAGTTCAGAGCAGTGGCTCACATGACCACCGTACAAAAGGGAATCCAACAGCTCTTCATTGCTGGACTCATGCCTCATAGTCTGATTTAGGAGAAGTGTGGCTTCTGCAGGGGGATTAGGCTGTGCAATTGCAAAGGAGTGGAAGCCAAAGTTCTGACTTATGGTATTAGAAATCTATTAAAATGAGTGAGTAGACTTGATGAGGATGGTAATGCACTGAATGGTTTTATTGCTGAAGTGAATTTAATCCTTTTAGCCTTTTTGCAGAAATTACAAAGCTTGACAGGGTTATTAGTGAAGTATTAATGAAATCCACCCAGCTATGCAGATGTCTGCAAAGTATAGCACACAAAACAGAGTTCATTTTTGAAGTTATCAGGAGGGTAGTGCTGTGAAAGAGAAGCTAAATGGGCAATGGCAAACAAAATTAAAGACTGTAGCTTAGGGACAGACAACCTCTCACTTCACTACATCTAGCAGATTTTTGACCATCACTTCCCATATGAGTAAGTCTGGCCTATCAAGTGGGATGATAAAAAGAGATGGATGCTAGATAGAGTCATTTTAATTACCTGGATTTGTTCCATTGAAATGTGGTTGCCAGGATATTGTTGCCTGAGTTATACAGAAGACATGCAGATGCTATATTCTTGCTTGTACAGAGGATGAAAACATTTTTGCAAAGTTTTCCCATTTGAACATTTCTCATGCAATTGCAAAATCCTGTTTAATAGTCATAGCTGAGGTGTTGCATTACCTCTGCTCCTCAACTTGAACAGAGAAGTTACTCTGGATGTGAAGAATCCATCTGCTATGAAAGAAACAAAAGGGACCTCAGCAAGGTAAGAGATTGAATTTGAGACAGATATTTTAATTTAATTCCTGGCTTTATACTTGGGTAAATAACATTTTCAGATCAACTGAACATACTGCTCTACCAATCTCACTTTTATAGACTAATATAGGGTTATGAAATGACTAAATTTTAAAGTAGGCTACTTCAGGCTGCTCTCTCAGATGCCTTGCCTTGCAAGAGTACATATATACAAGGCCCCTGTTTGCCATATCAGTGACATATCAGTGCTAAAGCTGCACTAACTCAGCAAAGACAGCATAGACCTAATTAAGTTCTTGTAATGCCTGGACTGTCTTCAATATCTCACTTAAAGATGGCTTAGCTCTATTTGTTTTAGAGCATTAGGACTGCACAGGTTCAGAGGAGGACTTTAAACTCAAAAGTCATTATCTAATTTTTTTTTAGGGAAAGGAATAAAGTGGTTCCTGCAGCATAAACATGCAGTTATCCCAGCAAAAAACAGCACATAGGTTCAAAAGCTAATAGGCTTTAAAAAGAACCATTTTAATTCTTCAGTTTAATTCTTCCTTCCCTTTCTTACAATTGCATAAATAACTTGAATGTAGAACAGGTGTGGGTTTCTTTAATCATCTCTGAATGATCGGAAAGGGCATAAAATTACTCTTCAGGGCAGAAAATAATTGGTTTAGGGGCTACATATTTGGGTCTGACTTCAGTGATTTTAGATTTCTTCCTGCCTTATAATTAATTCTCACATTGCTGAAGGCATTTTGGGGTTTTTGGCTTTTTTCCCTCCCTTTCCCTAAATGCTTCACTAACAAAATATTTTGAAATCCTGTTCATTAAATATTTTTACTTGTATGAACATATAATACTCCCTAATAACTTCAGGTCCTTTCCTGGGAACAATGTTTGCTTAACATTCCTCCTTTGCAGTCTTCATTCTACCATGGATTTGCAAACAACCCTTCCTCCCCACTTTGTTCTTGTGGCTTGCAGGAGTTAAATTCTCCTAACAGTCAGAAGAATTGCTCTAAAGTTCCTGTGATTTGGCTAAGAAGTAACATCTATTAGCCTTGGTGACAGCTCCCAGTTTCCTGACTGATTACAATTAAGTTTTACTGAGGATTTTATCCACCCACTTTTAAGAAGTTGTTTAGCAAAAAAAAAAACAATCAAGACTTTAAAAAAAGTACTTGTTTTGTCATATCCTAATTAATTTATAAGAACAGTGTTCCTGACAAATCTCAGAAGAACACAGCATATGGAATGCTGTGGATTATAGCTTGGTCTAGATAAACAGAGGGGCAGAACATGAAAACTATAAGTAAAATCTTACGATTTTTATTTCCCTGCAGCTGGGTAGTGTCCTAGTCACCCATCATATGACTAAATTTACCCTCAATAACATATGTTACCAATGTGTCCAAGCAAATTAAGATGTACACAAAAGGCAAGGCAATTTTACCATACCGAGAAGGGGCACAAGGTGGTCTGTGGTAACCACCTCTGATAAAGCATTGTATTTTGTCCATTAGATTTCTGACTGAAGTGTCAAAAATTGGATAATAAAATGTCAGGTAACTGTTAAGTCATTCTTAGAAGGAAAATAATCCTAAGCTTTATTTGAGGAAATCCTGGAACTTTTCAAATAGTGCTTCTATTTTATTGAATTCTCTTTTTTACATGGCACTGATCTGGTAAGGAAATAATTTTGTTTTTCTCTAGTGCAACCATAGTTTGGTTTTAATTATGCTGAAATGTACATATTTTTTCCTTCTTGGCTGGAGAAATCAAATGGAATTCCCTGTATGTTTTAGCAAACAATAGATACTTGGCTGAGGTGCCTCACAACTTAATGCTTATAAGGCTTTAAACATAGCTGTGCTCTCAAATTGTTCCATAAATATGATCGCACTCTTCTTGCTCAGGCTTTTGTTGGGCTCCTGAGCCCACAGGGCTTGCATGCAGTCAGCTTCCAAGGATTTTGGTATGCAGTGACATGCTTTCCTCCTTTGGCTCTGGCATTTTTCCTCTGCTGCTGCTTCACAGTAGTAGAAATCTAAATCCCAGCTGTTTAGGAAACATCCTAAATGTTTGGGGGCTTGTCTTGTTTGAGGACAAGTAACTGAGATTGCTCACATTACTCCATAGATTCTTTGTCTTAAGGCTATGGTTCAAGTCTTCCAAAAATGATAACTAGAAACAGTAGTTTTCAGGGAGTCTTAAAACAACATGGACCTTTACTTAATGGCATGAAAAATATCCAGTTTCAAAAGAAACAAAACAAAATCTTCCTTTTTCTATATCTTGTCTTATCTGCCTAAAACAGTCTGGGGGCTGAAAGATGTTCATGAATCTGTCATTTGTCTTCTAAACCATGATGTTCATCCAGCTTAGTACAGTTTATCCTGACTAGGTTTTTGCTCCTCACCTTGCCTATTTCTTACTGTTTTCATTTTCCAGCTTTGTGAAGATTCTGCCAGTCTCATCTTTGTTTCTGTGGACTCAGTCATGACTCATGACTTCTTCCCAATAGACTCCATCTCCTTTTTTCCTCTTTGTTTAAGGATGACTCCCGAACACCATCCCCAAGATGGATAATATTAGCAGCTCTAGCTAACTCTGGCCAATATTCTTAATACTCTATAGAGCAGAAATTTCAGCCTTTTTCATTGTTCCTGGCTTGGTGAATATATCTACTCTATAGCAGAAAATGCCCCCTTGTTCTATAGATCCAGCAATTTTCAGAGTGATACTATTGTCAAAACTTTTAATATGAATAGATTATGAGTTATTAAACTCTTATTAAACCCCAAATTACTACCTATTCCATTGACTGCCACTTAATTTGCATGTGTGCACATGTTGAAAAATATAGCATCACTCCAGCTGGGTTCCTGTTGGCTTGGTGCCACAAGTCAAAGGAATGCTGGTAGAATTTGACATGTAAAATTCCAATTGGTACGGTGACTTTTGCAGAGTTTTTCTTGTCCCCTCCTGGATGTCAGGTCATTTCACAGTTTAATCACCAAACCACTTGTGTAAACAACTGTTTGTTACCTCTTTTATTTGATGGTGAGCTTCTTTCCTGCAAACATCAGGCTTTGGATAGACAGCTTAAATTTATATAGCTTTGTCTGCATCTTTATCAAAGGCAAAGGATGAAGTTATTCTGAGCCTTGACTTTGCCACATCTATTTACTGAGTTCTGTAGCTTGTAAAGTTGTATGGCATTGCACATTCTCATTTAAGATTTGAATGTCTAAGGTTTTTAGATGACAAGCTGATATGAGTTTTTGCATCTTTTTATAATTGCCTGATGTCAAAGTTGTGCATTTTCTCTACTCCAGCTGAAATAGCTTCTCTTTGTTTAGTTGTCCTATTGGCTGAATTGCTCCCAGTTCATGCCAATATTTCCCAAATATTTGCTTTTAACTGAGGGTTTTCAGGGCTTTGTTTCTGTTGGATGTAAACTCAGTCACTGCAAGAAACCATGTGTGAAAAGAGAAACCTAAATTAAAGGGGTTTTTAAAATGTGTTTTGGGCTACAAAATGCCCAATTAGAAATATATTTTAATCTATTGGGAAAAATGAGTTTGCCAGACACAGCATTCACACAATGATCTAGAACAGATTCAAAGGTACAAGACTGAGCAGCCCTGCTAGTTTTTAAAGACTAAAACTGGAAAAGAAACAAGTGTAAGAAATGTAAATGTAAAGAATGTCTTTTGAATAAAGCAGAGCATAGTAGTTTGGGATTTTAAGAGGCATCAAAGTAGGATAGAAAGGAAGTTTTTAAGAAGTGTATCAGAAAGTATTACCCAACTGTGCCTTTCCCCAAAGAGGGATCAAATGCCAGAGTGAACAAGCAGCACTTTGGTTTCAATGTGCTGGTTAAGCAGCTTTTTCTTGGGGGGTCTCTGGAGCACAATTGAAAAAAGGATAATTGCTTTTACTCAAAATTGCAACTGCATGGTTTTCTGAGAGGACTAGGAATTCCCAGGAAGGGATTGTTACCTTGGTGGCTGTTTTTTCAAAAAATCAGCAGGTTCCCTTTAAAGAATAATGCAATTGCATTGTACCCTAGCCAGACTTCAGAGGCAAGGGAAACCTGAAGTCATAACACTTGATTGACAAGTTGATTTTGAACAGGATGCAGGCAGCTAGGAAACATTCATGGCTTTGGTGAAAAGTAAAGACAGTTCCTAAACCACTGTGAAGTCATGAGA